CCCCACCATGTATTAGCTCATCTATTCTCTTTATATTAGAAATGAGTACATTGGATTTTTGTTTCTCCATTCTTGTGATACTTTACTAAGAAGAATGTGTTCTACCTCCATCCAGGTTAATACAAAAGATGTAAAGTTTCCATCTCTTTTAATGGCTGAATAGTATTCCAAGGTATACATATACCACAGCTTGTTAATCCATTCCTGGCTTTGAGGGCAGTGAGATTTTTTCCACATTTTGGCAACTGTAAATTGAGCTGCAATAAACAGTCTAGTGCAAATGTCCTTATGATAAAAATGAGAATGAGAGTGATAGAAGAAATGATACTGATTGGCATAGAGCTAAGGCCATGCCTGGAACTCGAAGATTTTGAGGAACTGGGCTGGGTGAGTTCCTCAAAATCAGGAGCTCCTTACCAGCTTGAGCAAAGCAAGAGTCTTCCTCTGCCAAAAATAGAAAGAGAAAGAAAAGACCAAAAACAAAGAACAAGAAGGAAAACTTAAATAAGAATGAAAAAGAAAGAAAAATCCTGCAGTGTGGACTTGCCAATACTTTCTTCCAAGGGGCAAAGGTAGAAGAGCTCCCTAGACCATCATCTCTTGTCCTCCTTGAGCCAGACTACTGCCATGACCTCCCTGCTAGAACACAGCTGTGCCACCCCAGCTCTCAGTGAAAAAAGAAAAAAAGGAAATAAGAAGAAGAAGAAGAAAAAGAATAGATAAAGGAGAATAAAAATACATTTGTATCAAATAAAGAGAGGGAGGGGCAAAGGAAAAAAGAAAGAAAGAAGAAAGACCAACAAAAAAAGGAGGAGATATCTTGGCTGTTGAACAAGCAATTTAAGTGGGAAAGATAAGAGAAGTAAAAGAGTCTCTAGTGTGTCAGATCTCCACCACTCCAGACCACATGCTGTCTTCTGTACCCCACCACCTTTCTGCACACCCCAAGCTATGACTCCAGGTAAAGTCCCCATGCCACGTATAGCTGGGTTCTCTCTAGGAAAGCTCAGTTGAATGATCCTTCTGGTCCACCATCTTGCTCCCCCCACTCCAGTTCTATTTCACCTTTTTTATTAAGTAATAAACACATAGATCATGTATACATTAATGCATTTATAGGGTAAAATGCGCTGATTTTAAATACAATTTGGAATATTTTTATCAAATTAGTTAATATAGCCTTCACCTCATTTACTTAATTATTGTGTTAAGACATTTATACTCTATGCTTAATAGATTTGACACTTGCAATAAGCACCATAGGTATGGTCCCACCATTACTCTCCCTCCATTAAGCCTCCTACCTCCCCTCCCATCCCCTTTCTCTTCCCTCTTTCATCGTGGACTATAGTTGTGATTTATCTTTCATATGAAAGTGTGAGTGATTATAAATTGGTTTCATAATAGTACTGAGTACATTGGATACTATTTCATCTTCTATGCAGCAGGCAGCCACTCTACTTAGATGTAGCTCACAGATAACCTCCTGATGAGCTTACAGATATCCTTTAGCAAAAAGGAGAGCTATTCACAGCATTTCATTGCACATACATGGAAGGGAAGGTCATCTTCACCCATCCCCTCTGATACCTTTCTAGCAAAAGGAGAACACTGGCTCAAGTCCTAGTGCAGCTTACTCTACACTGGGCCTGTCAGCAACATGGAAAAGGAATATGCAGTGCTGAATCACAGTATCCCATTTTTTCAGAAACAAAGTGCTTCACTTGGCCCTGTGGATGCTAGATGAGAGTGGAAGGTGGGGTGCCCAAACATCTGACCAGAACTGCCTGGCACTGCCTCTTACTCCCTCCTCAACGCTTAGCAGATGGAGGTAAGCTCCCCGCTGAGTGCCTCAGATGATGATGAGTAGAAATGGAGCATAGAATAATCCCGCGCCCCACCATCTCCTTGATGCCAGGTGGGGAGTGAAAGTTCAGCTTCTTAGTGGGCACAGCTGAAACATGAAAGTGGTGGGAAAGTGGAATGCCAGTGAGCCTGAGCTTATTGTTTAACATCATTAATACACAATGAGAGTGAAGCCTCAGCTCCCCATGCAGCCCAGGTGACACCATCCTGAAGGGATGCTTTTTTGAGGGAATAATGGGCCCTCTGGCAGTAAATTGTCTGCACTTCTTCTAGAATCTGAGGCAGTTTAACTTTTTATTCTGTCCTCACCACCAACCCTTAGTGTCTGGACCCACTCACCTTCTTTTCATGTTACCAGCTGTCCCTTTGCCATATAGAGACCAGTCACCAATTGGCAAGCTCCTCAGACAGCGCAACCGTATCTCAACTTCTCAGCCTTCAGCTGGCCTAGATGCTGTGTGCACAGCACTGTAAGTCATTTACAGAATTTTACCTTTATAGCCTAAAGAGACATTAATAGAGAAGCAAATGCCAAAAATGTTGACATTTCACCTGCAAAGAATTATAAAACGTTTACAATATCAGTCTCACTCTCTCTTCTGTGGTAAAGGGGATTAGCCATCATCACCTGCTCAGGGGCTGCCTTTGTTTAACTTACTTCTTAACCCTCACCCCCCAACTCTAGTCAGAAGAGCTCATCGATATCATTAGTTCAGAAAAGTCTCTATCCTTTGACCCATTTAACAGATTCTATACATAGTTAATTTACAAGAGACTCAAATTTATACATAGTTAATTTAGAAGACACTCCACTGTCCTTTGAAGAGCTGTGAAAAGATTGTTAAGCTCAAATTCCTGTTCTGAAATATAATACTACTCTGGAATAACATCTACTGCCTTTTTTGTCCCATAATAACATTTTGACATCAATAGCTTACACTGAGAATATAATTTAAATTGTTGCTTTCTTGATCCTATTGTGCTGTGATAGTAACACATCAGTATATCAATTTCTATTACTAGGGGGGAGAAAGTAACTGAATCAATGGCTTCCAGTGTTTATCATCCTTTTTCCTCGCTATCTATACTTCACTAAGCTGCAAGTTTAATCTGTCCAAAAGCCTTTCCATTTCCTAACATTTCATCTGAAAAGACAGATTGTTAGAGATGTAACATCCTTCCATTGACATTGAAAAGGTAATATCTTCACAGTTGGGAAGCATGTGATAGCATCAGGTAAATACCTTGTATAGTTTTATATCCTAATGCCACACTGCTCATGGATATTGTAGTAATTTTTATTTCCTGTTTGCTAATTAGATAGTGTCTTCTACAATCTTTCTCAAGAAACTCATCACAAATCTCTACACTGATGGTTCTAATGTCTGTGTCCTTTTTCTATTGTGGACCAGGCATCTTCACAGCCATTACTCAGCCGTTTAGATGTAACATTTCACCTCATATCCATGTCCTCTTGCCAGTGTTTGTGTTCTGCCTCCTCCTCTGCTAACTCACTTTATTAACAGGGTCAAAATAAAACAGATATGCAACAAAGTATTACCTTTTTTTTTCCTTGATTTATTTCTGACCCTTCAGGGCCATGTTTATTCTTCCCTCCCTTTTGGTCCTGTTACACACCACCCAAGGAAATTTACATTTCAGTATACAGATTGACTAAATTTTTATTTGAAAACAGCATTTTCATGTTGGTGCATCAAAAATAACATAAATAGATGGATTAATTGAGATATCGATAGTTATGTATACAATGGTTTGACTTACAATATTTGACTTTATGATGGTACCAAATCAATGTGCATTAGGTAGAAATTATACTTCAAAAATAATTCTGTTTTTCACTTTCAGTGTTTTATTCAATAAATTACATGTTATAAAATAGACATTGTATGAGATGATTTTATCCACCTGTGGACTAACATAAGTGTTCTGAGTATGTTTAAAGTGGTCTAGACTAAGCTATGATATTTGGTAAATTATATATATTAAATTCAATTTTTAGTTGAATATCCTCAACTTACAATGGGTTTCTTGGGCTATAACCCCATTGTAAGTAAAGAAGCATTTGTATAAACCAAGTAAGGGCATAATTTAATAGAAGAATCTAGGTGGTTGGCATACAGTTGATTGTGATACAATTTTTCAAATTTTCTTCATTTTTTTTTCACTTTCAGATTAATATGACAATACAAAAAATGGGTTACATTATTTGCATTTGTCAGGAAAATATATCTTAATGGATTATATTTAACTTTCTAATCTGGATTGCCCTTCTCTCTCTTACAAATATAATGAAACTATTGTTCCATCACAGAAGACATGTACCAATGTTATTATCTCTCATTGCCCTATTGTATTCCACATTATGCGTATTTATGTATATATGATAGCACACATAACATATATGTGGATGCATGCTATCATTAATTTAGCCTGTGTTATTCTTTGGAAATCATTTCTGATATGTCACCATATTTTTGTTTAATAATTACTTAACAGACTGTTATTAAATATGCATTTACAAACAATTAACCATCTGAATAAAAAGGCCAGAAACATAAGAAATAATAAATTGCTATATTTTGTGTTCTGAGAAATAGAGGTAAAATATAAATACACATACACATATCAATTTGTACTAAAATTATAAAACACAGACAACTCATAGCAATTTCTGTAAAAGGCAAAAATTTGAATTTTTAAAATACATTAGGAAGAATGGCAAAAAAAACTGTGAGAGGCATAAAGCTTAAAAAATATCCTAAAATAATATTTCAGCAACTCTACAGAAGGAACTACTATCTCCAGTTCATATTATTGCACCATCCAGTCTAAGGTTATAGTTATAGAAGTAACTTAAGGAAGGAAATTGATCTAGTTCTTAACTCTGTAAATAAGAAAACTAAGCACCCAAAGGCACTAATATCTAATGATTGATTAGAACACATGGAAAAACATGAACCAAAATGGCTATAATGAAATTGCTCCACAGACCCAAGAGATGGATTCACTTTGCTAGTTTCTCAGCTATAACTTCCCACATCCTCATGCTAACGCTCATGTCGGGCATGGAGAGAATTATTGAAAAAGCCACAATGTTAGTTTCCTAATCACATTCACTTCTGCTTTGTAAAGAACATATGAATCACCTGGTCCCGGATCTGTTTGGTCTTGATCCCATAAATGATAGGATTCAGCAAAGGTGGAGCCAAAATGTAGCCATTGGCCAGCAGGACACGGATATAGGGCAAGATGTGACGTCCAAATCTCTGTGTGAGGACTGAGAAGAAACCAGGCCCATAAAAGAGGATGATGACACAGACATGAGAGCCACATGTATTGAGAGCTTTGTGGCGAGCATCTTGGGAAGACATGTGGAAGATAGCACAAAGAATCAGCACATAAGAAATACAAATTAGCAAAACATCCAAGACCATGGTTGACAGCACAACAAAAACACCATACCAGATGTTTACTCGGATGTCATCACAAGAAAGATGGGCCAAGACAATTTCTGTACAAGCAGTATTTGGGAGGATGTTACTTTTGCAGAAAGTCAATCTTTTCAAAAGAAATATTCCAGGAAAAACTGTACCATAACTTCTTAGACATACAATCATAGCAATTTTCACAATAAATGCATGTGTAAGAATAGTGGTGTATCTCAGTGGGTAGCAAATGGCAATGTAGCGGTCAAATGCCATTAACAACAAGATGCCTGACTCAAAGATGAAGGTGGAGTGGATGAAGAAAAGCTGAGTGATGCAGCAATTCAGGGAGATCTCCCCAGCATGGTACCAAAAGATGGCCAAGGCCTGTGGTACTATGGATGTAGGTAAGACAATATCTGCTCCAGCCAGCATGCAGAGGAAGAAGTACATGGGCTCATGGAGGCTGTGCTTTGAGAGGATAATGGAGATGAGGAGGCTGTTCCCAAGTAAGGAAGTGACATAGGAAATGAAGAAGGGGATGGAAATCCACATGTGCTGGTCCTCTAGGCCAGGGATGCCCTGCAAATAGAAGACTGTATGGCTAACACCAGTGTGGTTTAAGGTAGTCATGCCTGGAGAAACATTTCAGGTCTTCACTTCCAATTCACAGAGATAGAGGAAAAGTCAGATTACCCTCAAAGATTTCCTTTGATGTCACCCAGTACCTTTGGCACCTACCTGATCCCATTCCATTCTGAGGATACCAGGAACTGTATTATATATAAAAATGAATAAGTCATGACTCACTCTCTCATATGGTCTTAACTTATAATAAAAAAGGTAGACACTTACATAATGATAGAAAATAAAATGATTAAGTTAATATCTTAGTTGTACAAATAAAACTCATACAGCAACACAAGGGGAGAAGTAATGCACTTAGTATTTGTGAAGTATTTAAGAATGAGTCCACATATGAAGTTACCTCTGCAGATAGTATCAATAGGTGGAAGGAGTGGCAAAGAACACTCTTCTTATGGGAGGTAGAGAATAGAGCTAAGTTGGAGTCCCAGGATTAAGATCTTCTCCATGGGTGAACATCTAAGAACTAGAATGGTTAATTGTCTAAGCCAAGGTCACTCTAGGAAACTTTTCAAATGGCTCATAAAAGCTTTCACAGCCTTGATCCAGATCACGTCATCCAGATGTCTTCAGCATTGTGGAAAAGTCACTACAAACTTCCTGTTAACAGAATAAGAACTTTGACTCACCCCAATTCAGAGGGCTTGCATGACCTCTCTCTCCATAAGTTCTTCTTTTCCCTGATTTCATTAAAAGTATATCAAAGGGCTGATCTCATGGCTGAGCACACATCTGATTACCCGAGTTGATTGGGAACTTTCTGTGATCTGAGTATTGTCTTTCTGTGTGTGCATTTCCAGAACCCAGCACACTGGAGCACAGTGTAAGTCCTCCAAATATGTAAGAACACAACCCAGTGACAAATACTGCATGGGTGTCATGAAGAATTAGGGCAAGGAAGTCACGAATAAACCCCTTTAAATGCTTTGAATGTTTGTAGTAGTCAGTGTCCAGGGCCAAGGTGGAACCTTACCTGTAAGAACTCAGGGCTGATCAGCACAAAGAGCTAAAGATGGCCTCAAAGCCAGCATCTCCCCATTCTCTCCTCGGTAACAACAGGAGACTCTGGTCCAATAGTGTGCTGATAAACTGGCTCGCATAAATAAATAAATAAATGCCTGATTTATAGTATTTGCAGGTTTTCAAGGTAGATATAGGCCCACCATGGCCAATTTCCAGCTACCAAATGGTATCACTAAATATGAATCTGAAATATATGCAATTTACTCTCACAAGCCTGTATTAATGGCTTCAACACATAACTGTTGTATTCTCTCCAAATAAGTCTATTTCACTCCAAAAAAAAGAAGGTTTTAATATTTGCAGCCATTGTCTAAAGGGCCCATAACATCTAGTAGGGAACAGGTCTTTCCTCCCTGAAATGTCATCCCACAACCATAAAAATACACTCATCTGCCTCAAATGAAATTCTCATAATCATATTATGATTATGAAATTAACCATAATATGACTCTCAGAGTGATGAGGACTAAGGAACTGAGATTTGGGGCATTTGTATGAGGCCCTCAGGGAGAGCCTGTACCCTAGAGAGTGCAGACTCAGAGCTGGGTTTTTAACAACTCCCTCTCTGACCTACACGTTTGGGTCACATCATTATGGCTGTCCCCTGTTCACACCACATTACCTCAGGAATAGATGCAGATGTGTGTGTTTTTTTTTTAATTAATAAAGTGTTAGCATTTCTACACAAATATTCCTGTCTCTTTAATGAGAGTTAGCAACTATTAATTTCATTTCAACCAGCACAGGTAATTGAAAATTAATATAAAAATTATTTTAAAACACTGTAATAATTCCACGTTTTGACATGTATTTTTGAACATTGTTTTCTGAACCTTGAAATTGAACATATATCATACGTTTAAACTCATTAAAACTTTGGAATTTATAATAATAATGTGTTAAATATTTACATGAAATACTTGAGCATCTTTCAAAAAACTACTTGAACTACATATATGACTCAAGTTCAAATATGAAAAACATTCTATACCTTATTTTCATTTGGCTACCAAGTAATCTACCTTTAATTTTTAGTTTTTATGTTCAGTCAAGCTACTCTTGCTAATAAAATTATCCCATTTTTAATTTTTTTTAATTATCCAATTTTTGTATCATGTTTATATCTTTTTTATTTTTATTTAGTTAGTCCAAGCATATGGTACATACGTATTTGTAAAGAAGAAACAGTTTTATGTGTAAGAATCATTTTTGTGTCTATATGTAATAATAAAACCAATATTCTAGTCAAAATGAAAAAAGGAGCTTATTCAGAAGAATTCTACTCCCACTTAAATCAGAAGGAACTCAATAAAATTTCTTACTTGGTTTGTGCTGGGTTTGTTTTTTTTTTAATTAAATCATAGCTGTGTACATTAATGCAGTCATGGGGTACAGTGTGCTGGTTTTGTATACAATTTGAAATATTTCGCCAAACTGGTTAACATAGCCTTCATGGCATTCTCTTAGTTATTGTGTTAAGACATTTATAGTCTACATTTAGAAAGATTCACATGTACCCTTGTAAGATGGACCATAGGTGTGGTCCCACCAATCACCCTCCTTCTACTCCTTCTCCCCCCTCCCCCCCGTCCCCATATTCTTGGACTATAATTGGGCTATAGTTTTCATATGAAAGCTATAAATTAGTTTCATAATAGGGCTAAGTACATTGGATACTTTTTTTCCCATTCTTGAGGTACTTTGCTAAGAAGAATATGTTCCAGCTCCATCTGTGTAAACATGGAGGAGGTAATATCTCCATCTTTCCTTAAGGCTGCCTAATATTCCATGGTGTACATATACCACAATTTATTGATCCATTCGTGGATTGATGAGCACTTGGGCTTCTTCCATGACTTAGCAATTATGAATTGGGCTGCGATAAACATTCTGGTACAAATATCTTTGTTGTAATATGATTTTTGGTCTCCTGGATATATACCTACTAGAGGAATTGCAGAATCAAATGACATGTCTATTTTTAGTTCTCTAAGTGTTCTCCAAACATCTTTCCAAGAGGGACGTATTAGTTTGCATTCCCACCAGCAGTGTAGAAGTGTTCCCCTTTCTCCATATCCATGCCAGCATCTCCAGTTTTGATATTTTGTGATGTGGGCTAATCTTACTAGAGTTAGACGATATGTCAAAATAGTTTTGATTTGCATTTCTCTGATGATTAATGATAATGAGCATTTTTTCATATGTCAGTAGGCCATGCGCCTGTCTTCCTCAAAGAAGTTTCTCTTCAAGTCCCTTGCCCACCCTGAGATGGGATCACTTATTCTATTCTTGCTAATATGCTTGAGTTCTCTGTGTTTGTGCTGTTTTTATGATGAGTTTTACTTTCATTGTATAAATATTCATCATCAATAGAGGCTGTGATAGTTAATCTTCGTCAACTTTCTTACCAATATATTTGGTTAGACACTTGTCTGAATGTATTTTCTCAGAAGAGAATAACATTCAAATTTTGAGTAAAGCAAATTTGCTTTAAGAAAAGTGAATTACTCTTCATAATATGAGTAGGCCTCATCCAATCAGTTGAAGACCTTAAGAGAAAGCAGACTAAGGTCCTAAGGAAGAGGGGATTACGCCTCCAGATGGTCTTTAGACTAGAGCTGCAATGTAAGTTTTCCCTCAGCCTCCAGCCTGCAAGCCTACCCTGTAAATTTGGACTTGAGAGTCAGCACAAATGTGTGAGCCCATTCCTAAAAATACATATATATTTATATATTCTATTGGTTCTGTTTCTCTGAAGAATCCTAACTAATATAGAAGGCAAGAATTTTTATTAGAGACATCTGAATAAATTCCTGTTGGAAAACTACCTGGGATTAGAATGCTTTATTATATCTAATTTCATAAGAAATTGCCAAAACTTCTTTCAAAATAACTGTTCCATTTTATACTCTAACCAACATTGTGCAAGAATTCTACTTGCTTGACATCCTCACCAACAATTGTGATATATCTATTTTTGGAATCTAAATAATTGTGGTAAAAGTCTAATGGTACCCAATTGATGTTTAATTTGCATTTCCCTGTGACCAATAAATAATGATCACATATTTATGTGTTTCTGGTCCATTTGTATGTCTTCTCTACTGGTTTGTTTTTCTAATGTGTTGTCCAATTTTTTTTTAGCATTTCTTACCTTTTTATTTTTGAGTGTAGGAGATTTTATATACCCTGAACACTCAGTCCATTGTCAGATACATATTCATCAAATATACTTTCTTGGCCTGTGGTTTGCCTTCCTTTATCTCTTAATGGGACCTTTTGATGAGAAAAGCTTTTATTTTGATGTAGTCTACTTTACAAATGTGTTCTGTTTATGGTTATTGCTTTTTCTTAACTGGTAATAGAACTTTCCCAAACCTCATATCACAGCAAGATTCTCTGTTTCTCCTAAAGGTGTCATGTTTAAGTTTTTACTTTTAGGTCTATGGTTATTCATGATTTAATTTTTATGAAAAGTGAGGTAAGAATAAAAATTTGCTTGTTTCCACACATATATACACAGTTTTGATAGAAGCATTTTTAATATGACTTTCCTTTAGTAATGGGATTATTTAGATAACTTTGTGGAAAAATCAGATATTCCTGTGGGTTTTTCTGGACTCTCTATTCCAGTCCATTGTTCTATTTGTCTACTTTTTATGACAGTACCACACTATTTTATTGTAAATATTGATTTCTCGTAGAGCAAATGCTTCAACTTTGTTCTTCTTTTCCAAATTGCTTTAGATATTCAAGGTCCTTTACATCTTCATATAAAGTTTAGAATCAACTGGTAATTTTTTTTTAAAGTTCTGTTAGATGAGATCAAGAAGGAAATTGCCAAATTTTTAGAACAAAACAACAATGAAAACATGAGTTATCAGAACCTCTGGGTACCGCAAAGACAGTCCTAAGAGGGAAATTTATAGCACTGCAAGCCTTCAAGAGAATGGAAATTCTGCTGT